TTAAAGGGTCTGGTATTGTTTGGGAGGGGGATCTGTGCATTGTTTTTTTTTTTTCTTTACAAATCTGTGTAAGGGGACCCCCCAGGCACAATATTTAAAGGAATTTTTCATTTTTATTGTTTCACTTTAAGCAATGTTAAAATCACTGCTCCCTTAAAAACTGTATTTTTAATGTATTTAATGTATTGTATTTTTAGTGTTTCTTTCATTGATTCCTGTCTCCCAGGGCAGTACCCGGATCCCCGTGCACTTTTTATGGCTAATAACTTGCATATAAGCCTTAAAAATGTTAGGGCAGAATTGTGAGCGCCTCCCACAAGCTGAGCACCGAGATGCGATGCAGCGATCCTGCCCAGCGCCGACTACGAGAGGCACCGCGTGAGGCAACAGGGACGGTAGTGAAACTGTGAGTGAGGGAAGCTGGGACAGGGCTGGCTGTAAATCTATTGCTATAGTGTACTGGACGTGTGTAATGTATATGTAGTACATATATACAGCACACACCTCCACTACACTCCAGCAATAGAGTTACAATTCTCCGCTGCTAACATGAATAGGTTAAATCATGATCCATAGTACATAACATGTAGTTGTACTATGGATCATTTAAAGTCACCTGTCCCTTTAAGAAAAAGTATCGGTAATTGGTATCGGCAAGTACATGAGGGGATGTACTTGTACTTGTACTTGGGCCTGAAAAAGTGGCATCGGGATATCCCTAATTGCATTGTAATTGATTCCTGTTCCATATTTCAAATTTTGTAATACACATACAGATTTGTAAAAGATTTCTGATCACCTGTATCTTTTTGCAACCCTTCTTAACAACTTAGTAACCAGAGGCCATTATTGTCTAATACCAGACCAGATTTAGCAGTATGCATCGGTTAACTTAAAGTGATATTAAAGTTTCACAGATTTTTTTTTAAAAATGCATGTAACTAGATAAACCTTATTGCATGAGATGTTCTGTTTGGTCTACAGACCATCTATTTATTTTATTTTTCCTTTTTCTGTCAGTGCTGAAAATGACTTTCATTCTGAGGGTGCCTCCATTCTCTTGCTGTGTCCTATGGGGCCACCCTCTAGTGCGTGCTCCCTTGTTCAGGTCTACAAACTTTCGTAAGATGCTGCCTGTGCACCCACGCACAGGCAGACCAACGTTATTACAAATACCTCCTCAGATGATTGACAGCGGCTCCAGTAAATATCTTCATGAGCTAGTTTTGAAAAAACATTTTAAACAAACTTTATTTAACATTTTACAATGTCACAATTACACTGCTCCACAGTGTATGTACATTTTAAATAAAGTTTTTTTTTGTTTTTTTTTAAACTACCTTACGGAGATATACAGGAGCTGCTTTCAATCACCTGACAAGGTGTTTCTAATGACGTTGGGATTCCTGTACATGGGTGCATAGGCGACACTTAAAGCCTGTAGTTCCGAGCAAGGGAGCGTGCACCAGAGGGTGGCTCCATAGGATGAAGCAAGAGAATGGAGCTACCCTCCAAATGGAAGTCATCTGCAGCACTGGGGGGTAAAGAGCATGTCATGTGGTAAGACTTATCTAGTAAGAGGCGTTCTTCAAAATCTTTGAAACTTTAATATCACTTTAACAAAAGCTCTCTGACAGTTTCAACTGGTGTGGCTGTGTTTAAAATCAAAATCATATGTCATAGCCGACTGGAGACCACGCTAAATTGGTTCCTCATCATTATTTGAAATGTCAATGACAGATGGGTTTCAAAGCTAGAAGAGTGCAGAGCTGCAAGATGAAAGGGCAACATGGACTGATGATTGATGATGACGATGATGCTCATTTAGCCTAGGTTCACGCTACTGCTGCTACATGGTTATCAGGGCTATTCACTAAAGGGTGAAGAGTTTGGAGACGGCAGGGGAAGTGAACAATATAGGCCAAAATAGCTGATTTGGAACAATTCTCCAAATTCTGCTCACTTTCCAATTCAGCTATGTTGTCCTAGATTGTTCACTCTTTATCCTTTTATGAATAACCCTGTATGTGTTTTTCATTGCATTTTTGTAGTGCATTTGAACGTTTTTGATGTGTTTTCATGCTTCGTGCGTTTTGTTTGGCCAATGACAAGCAATATCTGCTGTGGCATCATTAGGTGTTGTCTTTCTTTACAAACACTTTAAGCACCATTAGACATGTGCTATTTGTTTCATTCCAAATTGAAATTCGTTCGCATTTTTGTAAATTCGAACATTCGGATGTATCCAAATTTCCGAATGACACAAATAAAGATCCGAACGAATACGAATGCTTGATAACGAAACACAACAAGCAGGAGAGCTGTCATTTACCGCTCTCGGGATTCACTTCACTTTGTTGATTTTCTGGACTTGTATCCTAAATGAAAACAAAGTAACAAAATATTGTTACAAAATGTAAAGAAGCTGAGAGATAGGTGTTATTCTGTAACAGCTTCCTGGCTGAGAAAGAATCTGACAGCTGTCACAGAATACACAATAAACTGTTCACAGAAATAATAATAACAAAAAGAAAACAGTGTGGAGCTCCCCCAACAATTCATACCAGACCACTAGGAATTTTAAGGGGGAACCCCAATGCCAAAGCAATGAAAAAAAAAAACAATACAAGCTAGACAAGAGGACGAGCGGATTTTTCAAGCCCTGTATATATATATATTTATTTATTTCTTACATATACAGACCTGTGGCATCCCAGAATCCCATCTCCTTAACTGTCCCTTACCTCTTCCAGCAGGGGTGCAGTGAGGAAGCAGGAAGCCTGGCAGGTGGTCATGTGACCAGCCATCCTGCTTCCTGATTGGATGGGAAGCTGCAGCCACACACGCTTGCAGCTTTCCAGGCACCAAGGTCTACAGCTGTTACGGAAGGAATGTAAGTGGCAAGTGCTGCTGCACTCTGTATCGCTGAGCTGGTCACGGAGAGATCTTTGTGATCTCTCCACCGGCTCAGTGACTATAAACAACATGCCGTTGTTTCGGAGTTGCGCACAGGGTGATTAGGGTGTGCCCAGGCACA